AATTTGGAGCTCTTTCCAGGAACTGGAACAGAATCATATGGAAAACATTAGAAAGGTCTCGTCTCACCTTATAGATCAGATTTGCCAGAAAACATTCAACTTCATCCATATCTAGCGGAACCCTTTCATCCACCTTGTTGCCTAATCTAATTGCAGCAGCGAATTCCGCAACAGGGATTCTCGTCCGCCTGATGGGTGGTTGCCCGTTCACCGGTGGATCATATCCTCCAGCCAAGAACACTTTCCGGAAGAGATTGCGGAGTGCGATATCTCGTCCCCTTTCGAGAGGAAGATATATACGCTTCTTGACAAATTCGTTCTCGCCAGCCGCCATTGCGGCGTCAAATCCTGTGAGGTCGCCTTTCTTGATGCACTTGCACAAGGGACTGAATAACTTCTCGAGAAGTGGATAGGGGGTAAGAAGCCGAAGTGTCGGTAGTGTGTGGGTCGTTACGATGTGACAGGGAATAAGATACGTAAGGATTAATCTAGATAGGGCAACTTAGTACTGTTGCCACAGAATGGGAAAGGGAAATTTCTTGCACCCACTCTTTATTTTTCTTCGCCAGGGGATGGCACATTTTCCACGCGTAGCTCAAATGCTCTTCGGCCTAGGCGATTCTATGATTAATATACAGATCAAATGTGGATGACGGAGAAGTGTCAGCACCATCCACACATACCTCTGCGTAGTTCTCTTCAAGGAAACATATCACCCCAAGATAATATTTGAAAGTGACGATGTGCGATTTGGGGAAAGCTGAAACTGGCGGTAAATCTGCGTGTGATGCATCTATAGCGCGCAGCAGGCTTTTACACGATGATACGGCCCCGAGCTATAAGGTCATGGTTGTTAGAAAACGGACCAGAAGCCATGACAGAAGTCTCCCAGGAATCCGAACCTTAAAATACGTTTTGAAGGAAAGATTCACGGTATTATATACGCCCCATTTACGAGACTCTTCAATTGGCGCCCTGCAAGAAGTTTTAGAAAAGTAACCTAATATGATGCCCAACCAGAAGCATACCTGTCATGAAGACATAGCGTGAACATCCGGTTAATTATTTGAGAAGAATCCTCTAACTTGGCATGCTTACTGGAGTCGGATATAACGTCATCTTGGAAGCCATTATTAAAGGTATCCGAATCCTGGGAAGTGCTGGCATCCGCTTCCATCGCGAATATTCGAAGATATCTCCCGACGACATATATACAAGGCAATGTCCACGCCTGGAACCCTCCGTTGGTGTACCCGCGGATGAGAAGATTGGCAACTTGCTTCCAAGCGTTAAAGACTTTGGTCCAATTCCCGGTTTGAGGCGACTCTTCGATTTCGACTATATCTGCCACTGCTTTCCAGTATGCCACGAAAACTTCTACCCACGCATTGCCCTCCTGCTTCGAGAGTTTGACCCCGGTTGATCGGTCTTGGAGGAGAGCATATCGGATATCTGACTGAACTTTGGCAAAGTTTGTGAAATAATAGAAATTCCGCAGTCTATCTGGGTCACTTGGAGGGGCAACTGGAGTAATTGTAGCTGCCAACGCAGAACCAATACCTGTATGCTGAGCTTCCTTGAACTCAACAAATATGGTTCTCATTTTGCGGTCAACCCTTAGGTGCGTCGTCATAAGAGCACACGGGCTGAGCAAGATAGCAAATATAGTAAAAGGTGTTAATAAAAAAAGGAATTTAGACCGTCATCTTCCAGGCCAAGTAGTCAGTTCCTCCTTGTTGCTTGATATTCGCGGTTGGCTGGAGGTTTTCTGGAGGAGTGATATCTTGGCATAACCAAACTCGGTTAGTGCATTGAGGCTCCTGGGTTAAGCGAAGGGCCACAGACAGCCCTAGCCACCACAAGCTCCAACAAATCTGAAATTCCGTGCGTTGAAGACGGCATCCATCTCACGACACAGCACGACAACCAGACAAAGTAAGTACTTATCCAAGAGCTATATTGAATTACGAGTTACTGACGTCGAGGTTCTAGATGGGTGAGTTTAATCCCTTAATTCGAGTCACGCTGTAATGCCCTGCCAAACCCCTTTCGAGATCGCAATGTAACATTATCCTACTCCGATAAAAATCCCAATTCATGAAACTACGCCTGGTGGAGTGTCGTGACTATTAGTTGTGGAGAAATCTCGTTGCAGTTTTCCGATGGGGATAATTTGCGCTCTGGAATCTTTTCTGGAACTGGTTTCTTGCCCATCGAATTTTTTGAGATATAGACGGACCAGCCGACATGTTGCATCTTTAATATCGTCATATCGTCCTACGAAGATCACAGAAACCGCTGTCAGCAACACTGTCTAATTTTGTGTGTTAAATTAGGGCGTCTCACGGAATACCAGGTCATCGGGCGACATCTGCCCACAGAGGCAAACCCCACGCCAAAACTGTATCGCATGCGCATCTTCGCTCCGAACACCGTCGTTGCAAAGTCAAGATTCTGGTTTTTCTTGATGAAGCTACGAAAAGTGAAGAAGGCAAATGGTGAAATTGTGTCCATCAATGTGGTATGTACCCCCTTCAGGGAAATAGTTTGCGCTTGTGAAAACTTCGTTCCTGTAGAACGGTCTACGGACAAGTTAACTCATCAAATCCTTCATCTTCCTCTCTAGATCCACGAGAAGCGCCCACTGAAGGTTAAGAACTTCGGTATCTGGATTCGTTACGATTCGCGTTCCGGCACACACAACATGTACAAGGAATATCGGGAAATGTCGCGGACTGATGCTGTTCAAGCACTCTATCAGGATATGGCTGCCCGCCATCGTGCCAGATTCCGGTCCATCCACGTATGAATCGTCCATCACACCCTGATCATAGATTTCTTGTTATATTAAAATTTTGCATTTTTCTAGATCCTGAAAGTTGTCGAGCTCGAAAAAGCCGACCTTATCCGACGACCATATATCAAGCAGCTCATCACCAAGAATCTCAAGTTCCCTCTCCCCCACCGGGTTCCCAAGGCTTCAACCAAAAAGATATTTGCAGCTCAAAGACCTTCGACTTTTGCTTAAGTGGATTTGAGGGGTTTGTTGGCGTGGAAAATGCGGGGATGCAGTATATGAATGAACTGCGCTTATGGCTATTTGCACTTGTGTACTGGGCTGATGGACTGGTTGAAACGCACCCTTCCGCTGTCGCCATGATCCAGCGGCCTTCTCTTTAGTCTATGGAGCGAAAACTTTTTTAAATTTTATAAATTTTCTTAAAAAAAATTCATGATAATTGTTTATTTTAGCAATCCTGGCTCGTAATCCCTAACCGTGATTGTATCAGTATTCCGCAATGCTAGTGATGTTGACGTTTTTTTAAAGCAATTGTAATTTCATTATTTTTGTTTTGTTAACTTCCACACCACTTGACTAACCCATTGTTAAACAAGGAAAAGTATGCAGTGGAAATATATGTCCACAGCTAAACCAAGAATCTCATATATTTTAATTCGAATCTCTCGGTTATCTAAAGCCTTAGATTGCTGAGAAGTGATCAACGCTATTTCTCAGAATTGATCAGAACTTGAAAGGAATAAGAATAATAGTATAAAGAAGAAAATAGAGAAAAGTATTAGAGAGAATAAATTACTCGTTAATACAGCTTCAGTAACTTGTTAAAGCAATTTATTCTAACTAGTTATTCAAATCTCTCGAAGTTTGTACTTTTTTTTTTGCCGGAGCCCTAAAACTTCCTTTTGCCGCGCTGTACTCCGTACATGTACTGTACATATAACTCTGAGCTTTCGGGCCCTCTCTTCAACAGCATAAACACTCTGTCCGCATCCCTTCCAGTGACTATGGCTCCGCGTCAAGCGACACACGTGCAGATTCGGGAGAATGGTGGGTTGTTCAGTCTTGCTATTCCTGTCTTGCTCTTAACTGACCCTCGTCAGCAAGCGGATCTCGAGGCATCCGGAGAGAGCTCCGGAGCTGGAGAAAATGGTTGTGAGGAAGAAGCCTTCCTAACTAGCCAACCCCCACCTGCAGCGAGTTGCTCTCCTACAAAGATTGTATGATAGCCACGGCAACCACGATGCTCTACAAGAAAGTAATGTCAACAAACAGATGGCAGAACCCCTCCAAATTTCAATTGAATGGCCGCAAACGCAAGCGAGTGTATGAACAGCAGACTGATCCTGTTAGACATGGTTTTGACAAGCGACAGCATAGTCCTACAAGCCTGGTGAAGACACAGGAATCAGGGAACCAACGCAAGCCGATCTATCTCCAGTTCCCCGGATAGTGGACCAAGATGTATACATTCACCCACCCTTTGATGCTTCTTCACAGTCTACCAATTTCACCACCACGGTGTTTACCTACACGTAAACAACGGTACCCCGAACTTGAGGATTCGCCTGATGATTCAAATCCGTCCTCAAGGCTGTCACGGACCGACGACAGACTCGCTGAACATTGGGTGCTTCACGAATGCGAGTGGCCTAAAGAGCTTTTAAGACCCAATCCCATAGAGCAATTTTATGCGCGACCAAAACTCCAGACGAAGTCAACTAGTTTGAACACTGCAAGTGAAACGACTTCACAAAGTACACAGAGAAACCCTTACAACCTCACATACTACGCTACATATCTCGAGACAAAGGGCTGTTTTATATATGACCATGATGGCGGTGTTGATAGTGACAAAAGAGTTGTCTGTTCTCAATTACTGAGTACAAATCCGGAGCTCCCTAGTAAAACTGTGTTTGAAGTGAAGTGTGGAAACACCTTGATATTGCAGATCGACAGAATGCACACTTCATTGCTCTCTCAGTAAGAGGTGTTGTTAATCTCTTCAGATTTGTAAACCGTGAGGCAGAACTACATCGACATGTTCTGGCATTTTCTGTTTCACATGATCACCGAGATGTCAGGATCTATGGCCATTATCCTGTGATAAATGGAGAGAGGACCACCTATTACCGCCATTCCATTCGTCAATTTAACTTCACAGAGTTGAATGGCAAAGAGAGATGGACATCTTACAAGTTCGTGATGGGTGTGTATAGTGACTGGGCGTCTTCTCATTTTAAAAGATTGTGCTCTGCTATTGATGAGCTACAGGCCGTTGACTTTGACATGTTGCAGCAGCCGGAGACGCCACATCAACCTGAGGTTTTACATCAGTTGAAGCTGAGTTTCTCGAAATCAACCGGACTTTCACAAGGTGCCGAAGGTGTTGATATACAGGGTTCAAGTGCTACCTCTCTATTGAAGAAAACTGGAGCCGCTCCGCAGAATACTCCCTCAGGTGCACCCGAAAAGAAATCTGCAGAAGCGTTCAAAGTGCCAGGGAAAATACGCCGATATTATTAGATAGTTGCTACTCTTGTTAGTTGGGATGGTTTTCGACGAAAAAGAGCATCACTTTCATTACTTACTACTTCGGGCAACCTGGGAATTGGGCTTCAAAGAGCAGCAGAAATCATTGACTCGTGGTATCCCCAATGTATTATGCGACATGTTTAGTTCTGTTTAGTTCAGCGATTCACATAGCTAGCACTTGGCATTTCCCGTCATTCCGTATGATTCTTCCAGGGCGTCTCGTTCATTAAGCGCACATTGAGTATATTGAATATTATGCTATGAATTACCAGCAGGTGTTAATATTTTGATTCTGTGGCTCTGAGCTGTGATGATTAAGTTGGTGGTAATCCAAAGGATCCGTAAGACATAAGAATTGCCTAGAAATTGAAAATTAATATCTCTAGAATTTTTCAACTGGGGAATTGAGGCAACTCTTAGATGCAGGGTTTTGAAAATTGATATAACCACCTACCTTCCTTTCCTTATCTGCATTCTGAAGGGATACATGATCCTCGTTACATCCATAATCAAATCCGTAGCCAGGGCCGGAGCCCTGTCGGTATCACTCTTTCATCTACCGCCGTTGCGTCATCTCCAATCCTGCTTGAAATGCTTAAAGTCCTCTATAGTTTTCACAACCCGGAATCCTGTTGTTTCGCGGCTGTCAGATAGGTTCCCATGCTGCAAGGGTATTTCAGCAATCCTTTGCCTCCTCGCACGCGGATATGGGAGTCCTGTATCTTCCTGTATCTTTTTTTACTGACCGCCTTACCTAAAACTTCTCGCAGAATTGATGAGGCTCTGCCAACCGCCATCCGATCCAACCAGTCACCACTGCCAGTAGATGCCCCATGGGCGCATGACGGTGGCGGAGGCGTTTGCGCATCTACCGACTCATTTCTGAGCTCATAATCGTTATATATTTCCATTGTCGTCTGTGGTGGAGTTTATCTGGAATAGAACCAAGTCGGCGGAGTCGGTAAGAAAATCCTGAGGGAGTCTAGAGACTGACCTCTGCTTGAGTCTGACCGGCATGCACGAGGGTCATCTTTAGAACACTTTCCGCGGCCATATCTACCTAGTAGGTATATCAAGGCAGTCCCGTCGAAAGAATCACGAAAAGTCTGCTGCAGAGGGGAGTGTGCCATGGTAGTTGGTATTATTCTGATTTGTACCAGACAATTGATTCTCATCATTTGATAAAATCTCCTCTAAAATTCTGTCAAGATCATTCCATGAAGTTTGTGATATATATAAGTCAAAGTGTTTAGTTCCAGACGGAGACGAAATAGGAGAGGAGGGACAACAAACAGGACGGACAAAGGGGAACAATGATTAAATATCAAGATCTATTAACAATGCTTTTTATCTTTTTGTCTTCTCCAAGAAGTCCTATAAGTATCTCAATACTCGTAGTTATACTTCCTGAATTCTATATCCCCATCACTCTCTCACTCTCAACTCTTCAATTGCTATTGTAAGAAAGCTCTGAAAACCCTTACAATGGAATTGCCCTTGTGTTTGTTTTAATAAAGCAGCACCTATCTATAATTTAAATCCATATGATTAGTTGGAAATTAAAATAAGCACCCAACAAACTTCAACCCCAAGTCAATTCAACCCTCCATCGATCATCCTCCTCATCCACCCATCCATTGGTGTGTCAACTTCCGTCCAAAATGTTTGCACGATATACATTCCGATGCTCCCAGCCTCTAGCACAGGTGAGTTCGTTCTAAAAAAACATCCATTGCTGGTGCCCGCGTTCCTGACGCTTCTCTCCGATTGCGCAAAGAGTGTGCGAAAATATTCCTCAGAAGCCCCAGCAAAGTCATCGCGAATTCCGTTAATTGGAGGCATTACTCTCGCAGCTGGCGCCGGATATTACTACTACTGGCAAACTACTTCCGCGAAGTCTGAGCCGAAGGAACGCAGCACCGTCTTCAAGGGAGGGGACCAGGGATGGATTGGCCTCAAGCTGGCCCACATCGACAATGTCAACCATAACGTCAAGAAACTCCGCTTCGAGTTTGAGGATCCCGAAAGCGTTTCTGGTCTTCATATCGCGTGTATGTCCCATTCCCATTTTCTGGAACTGTTGGTTGATCCACCGATTTTATGCGGCTAACCTCTGATCACAACAGCCGCCCTTCTGACCAAATACAAGGGCCTAACGGACGAGAAGCCGACAATTCGTCCTTACACTCCTGTCAGCGATGAAGGTATGTGGGTGGGACAAGTAGTCCCAAGAATCCTGGCTCCCTTGGGTGGGATAAGGTAAATAACAAAGGATGTGCTAATCCAACATGACAGGCCAGCCTGGGGTACCTGGATCTCCTGGTAAAGAGATACCCCAACGGCCCGATGTCCAACCACCTGCACAACATGGCAGTAGGCCAACGGCTTGACTTCAAAGGCCCTCTTCCCAAGTATCCATGGGAGCCTAGCAAGCACGATCACATCTGCCTGATCGCAGGCGGCACCGGGATCACGCCCATGTATCAACTCGTCCGCAAGATCTTCAGCAACCCCGAAGACAAGACCAAGGTGACGCTCGTCTTCGCCAACGTCACGGAGGAAGACATCCTGCTGCGGAAGGAGTTCGAACATCTCGAAAACACCTACCCTCGGCGCTTCCGTGCCTTTTACACCCTCGACAAACCGCCCAAGAACTGGGCGCAGGGCACCGGTTTCATCACCAAGGACCTGCTCAAGACCGTGCTCCCCGAACCCAAGACAGAGAATATCAAGATTTTCGTGTGTGGGCCGCCAGCCATGTACAAGGCGATCAGCGGGCAAAAGGTCAGCCCCAAGGACCAGGGCGAGCTCTCTGGCATCCTGAAGGAGCTTGGATATAGCAAGGAGCAGGTGTACAAGTTTTAGGTTTGCGTGCTCTTTACTGGACAGGGGGGGGAGGGATAAGGGATGCTTACAATCTTCCAACTTTTATTATCCAGCTGTTTTTCTTTTGCTGACTACTAGAGAAAGAGCCTCCCGCGGATATGTATTAGATAGATACTAATGCAGGTAATGTGATTTTTCTATTTTCAGGGTCCCTGTGTATATATATATATGTATATCGTTGTGGCTTGATTAGACTAGTTGGTACAATCTTTATTATCAGTTATAGTTACCGGTATTAACTAAGTAACTTATTGCCCGTTCGATTCCCTCACCCTTTAACTAATTAAAGTGCTAGTTATTTACCATTCAGAGGGCTTTACTCCGTAGAGGTGGCTCAATGCCCGTGGCTTGCTCACTAGCTCATTAAGCATTGCCCAGGAATCCCGAGAATAACCTCCCTCCTTTGCGCTGCTTACTTATTTGAGATTTCGGTTTCAATCCTTAGTGGGAGAGGAAAGATTTTTGAAACCAAACTCCGTATCTATTTATCTATTTAACCCCCCCTCCCCGGATGTAGTTGAGTATTAAGGGATTGATTGTGGTTGATAAGTATATATATCTGGGCAAAAGGGGGATCAAACCAAACCCACCCGCCACCGCCCGTAGTTGTGTTGAGAGAACAAATGGCTAAAATAGAAAGCTGGGAGGGAAAGGCGATGTCATAATAAATACTCGGGGTCAGCCCAGCGTTCATCAAGGGGGACAGCGTAGGT